CGCTGGGAGCCACAGCAGGCTTGGAGCAGAAGCAAGACTTGGTCAGAAGTGGTATATTCAGAGCCTGAGCATTTGCCTTATCTGTGGTTTGGACTAGAAGCCAACACCTAGGTGAAGGAGGCTCTTGTGAGACCTAGAGATGATCCAGGAGGTGGTGGTGCACACCTTTTAATCCCAGCATTTGGGAGGCAGAGGCAGGCAGATCTCTCTGAGTTCAAGGCCAGCCTGGTCTACAGAGTGAATGCCAGGACAGGTTCCAAAGCTACACAGAGGAACTCTGTCTCGAAAAACAAAACAAACAAACAGAAAAGACTTAGGGATGAGCCCCATGGACCTGTCCTCTGTATGAGCCATCCAGAGGGGCAGAAGATAGAACTGATAAAGAGTCTCATTTGAGAGAGAGGAGAGAGTCCATATGCCTTGTGGTTATGACATGGCCAAGGCTAACGGGACCTGTGAAGGAGCTGAGCTCAGCATCAGAGCCATGTAAAGTCACTGTGGTGGCCAGGGGTAGGGTTGGAGTCGGGGAATGCACCAGGCCTGAGGAGAGTGTCCCCACACACTCAGCACACCCCCAGTCCAGGCCCTGCTTCTCCCAACCTGATTGGCTTGACACCTTAGGCTCCCTTTTCCTTGGGCCAACCCGCAGGGCACCCTTCAGACTGTTGCTTCCTCCTTAGCCTCACCATCTTTGCCACCATCTTTCCCTTCACTCTTTCCATGGTCTCTCCCTGTCCACTCACTGGTTCTGGCTCTGGCACTTTGCCCTACCAAGACCTTAGGGCCTCCTGGCAAAACTGCTAGAACATGACACATTTCCTCCTGCCCGGCCCTTGCTTCTGTACTACCCAAAACAGTTCACCACAGGCTCCATCCCTCCGTGTCTGTTGCAGTCTCCTGACTAGGAGAAGAGGCTTTGCTGCATCTGCCTTCAGTTAGGCCCCTTTCCTTGTAGTGGCTCTGAGTTAGCTTCAGTTATCTGGTGGTTAAAGATTCATCTGTTTTCCTGTGTAAAGTGTGTGAGTTTTGCTATTTTTTTGCTACAAAACAATTATCACCAAGGTAAGGAGCCCTTGGCTTTGTCCAGCAAGAACAGTGAATATTTTCCAAATAAAATGAGCCCAAGAGACTGGGCTCTGCACTCACAGACAGATTTTTGCCTCCTCTTTCTCCTCCTCTTCCCCCTCCTCCTCTCCCTCCTCTCTCTCTCTTTTCTTTTTTGAGACAGGGTTTCTCTTTGTAGCCCTGGCTGGCCTGGAACTCACAGAGATCTGCCTGCCTCTGCCTCCCACATGCTGGGATTAAAAGGCGTGCGCCACCACTGACCAGCCAGATTTTGCCTTTTGTTAGTGTCACAGAATCACAGCATACAAGTTAGCATTGGACAGGGATGGCAAGGACATTCCACAGCTACTCCCAGATGCAGGCTGCCTCGGCCTGGCGTCTGTGTCAGCATCTGGCAGAACTGGGAAAGGGAGTGGCAGTCTTGAAACCCTTCCACCATGTGGCTCTGACTGGTGTTTTCCCTGTATTCTCTTGGTGACACTTAACCTTTGTGTGGTCCTGCCAGGGCAGTGCTGTGCTAAGGATGAAGGACCTTTTCTGTTGGGCCCGGGACGAGCAGGAGGAGCCGAGCTGCAGCCGGGGTCGTAACTGCTGCCTTTTCTGAGTGACAAGGGAAGAGATGACAGAACAGGGGCTAGGGCAAGACTGTGTAGAAGACAGGGTGGTTGTATTTCATTATGTTGTATAACTTTTCAGCTTGAAATAATTTTAGATGTGTCAAAACAACACACACAAAAAATTTCCTGTACGCCTAACCCAGCTGCCCTCCCCAGAAGTTAATGTTTCATGATCACAGTAAAGCTCTCAGAACAACAAATTCGGATCAGTAAGAGACTATGAGCACTACCAGACCTTATTTATTTATTTATTTATTTATTTATTTATTTTTAGTTTTTTGAGACGGGGTTTCTCTGTGGCTTTGGAGGCTGTCCTGGAACTAGCTCTTGAAGACCAGGCTAGTCTCGAACTCACAGAGATCTGCCTGCCTCTGCCTCTTGAGTGGCTGAGCCACCAACGCCCGGCCCCAGACCTTATTTAAATAGCTGTCCCACTAAAGCCCCCTTTCTGGTCCCAACTCTGATCAAAGATCCTGCACCATTCAGCCTCCCCCAGGCCTCTCTGATGTTGAGCACCGGCCAGGTGTTTTTCTCTGATGTTGACCACTAGCTGGCCAGGTGTTTTACAGCGGGTCCCTCAATCCGGGTTTGTCTGAGGTTTTTTATCGTGAATAAATTAGGGTTGTGCATTTGGGGCATGAAGGCCACAGAAGGGAAGTTGTGCCGTTCCCCCTGGTCAGAAATATATTGTTACTGCTGAGACGAGGTCTGAGGGTGTTGGGGCTGGAGCCCAAGTGCATTTGGGTGCTAGGCAAGCGCCCACTGTCGATTGAGCCCTGGAGCCTGACCTTGTCTTCAGTTTCTCCAGTGACTAATTAGTATCGGGTAAAGCAGACAGTTGGAGATTATGCAGTGCGTTCCTGTAGGTTAGAAACTGCAAATGGTGTTTTCGTGGTGAATGAAACCAAGGTGAGAGAGAGGGAGCGATGCCAGGGAATGCTTCTTGGAGGAGAACACCCCAGGTGAGGGACCTGCCCAGGAGAAGCTACGTAGATAGGCTTGCGCGCACCCAGTGCACCCCTACTATTGCTCCAGACATCCCCCACCCCCACTGCCCTCCTTTCTGTGCTGTGCACCACCTCGAACTGAGAACTACTGACTTGACACTAGGCAGCTAGCTGGCACAGGTCCATCTGAGTTCAGTCTAAGAAAGGAAAAGTGTGTGCTTAGTGACCTTGAGGACGACACACCCTCCAAAGTAACCCCTGCAGGAGAATAGATGCCTGGAGGGCCGTGTGTTTCACCACTTGCTAGCAGCCACACACTGCTAGTCACCGAGGCAAGGGGGTGAAACTAACCTTGCCCTGTGCATGGTACAGATGATGCCCGTCTGCCACCTGCCTCCGTCCAAAGAGGACTGCAGATGATCAGAGGGACACTTCTGGATTAGATCTGAAGTCTTGAAGTTTATGAAATGTGCCTATTTCATTTATGTTTCAAATTAGTTTCTTCCCCTTTTTGCATTTGCCTTTTCAGATAGTAATTGTTATGCTTGTTGATTTTTTTTAAAAAGGGGGGAAGTAAAATAAATGCATGTGTCCAACAATATGAGTTGGAGGGGGTGTCTTATTTCTGAACCACAGGCTTCTTTTAGAATCTCTGAATCTTAGTCTCTCTCTCCTTCCTTCTCCAAATTCATAACATATTTACCCACAAGCAGAGGAGCCACTGAGGAAATGGGGGTGAGTCATTCCATCCCCAGCACATGAAGAAGAAAGATACACCAATATTTTCACCACCAAGGGCCACCTCCAGTGACCCTGGTTCTTTTCCCAGGAGAAGTATCTAAATATGCAGTCCTCCTTCTCAACAAGGAAAGGTCTATGTTATCATTCAGCTATTTAGAAGTCTCTAACCCTTATTCCTGCAATCTATTCATGGATATCTAGGCTGTATTCAGTGCCCCCTCACACCCCCTAACTGGATATCTCTCTTGCACCAGCTCTTTGCTTTTACAACAGAATACACAAAGAATTAGCAATGAATTGATGGGACATCAGCTCAAGTCTGCTTCCTCTGAATTCCTACTTGGCCTACTCCTTATGAACATGTCACCCAGGAGGCCTGTTTCCCTGGTCTACTATGTCTGGGACATGTCTGTTTATTCTCTGTGTGTGTACTTGTGCTGTACTTCTAGGGTAGAGATCAGAGGACAACTGCAGAAGTCAGTTTCCTCCTTCTACTCTTGGGGTCCTGAGGTTCAAGCCCAGTAATGAGGCTTGGCTTCAAGCACCCTTCCTGGCTTAGCCATCTCATTAGCCAGGACTACTGTATCTGAAATAGCTGTCTTTCTTGCTGGGTGTTGGTGGCACATGCCGTTGATCCCAGCACTCGGGAGGCAGAGGCAGGCAGATCTCTGTGAGTGCTAGGCCAGCCTGGTCTCCAGAGTGAGTGCCAGGATAGGCTCCAAAGCTACACAGAGAAACCCTGTCTCGAAAAACCATTAAAAAAAAAAAAAAGAACAGCTGTCTTTCTCTATAGATCCTTTCACTGCTTCCAGCTGGTCACTGTATCCCTCCTACTTGGTCAGCTTCAGGGAGTGATGACTGTCTTATGCAGTGTACACAGCACTTGGCCAGTAGCTGGAGATCAATAAATGTGCCTGAAAACATGACATCAAAGCACTGAGCCCAAGAGGCCCTTATGAACTGGGCCCTAGGTGACCTCATAGGTCTCACATTTTGTTTGGAGAACTCTGGTATCCTGGTCCAGTTTCCTGAGCCACATATAGCTAGGATGGCAGTGGGACAAGGATGGATGGTCAAGCCCTCCCAGCCTCACCCCTGCTTGTTGTTCCTCTATTAGCTAAGAAGCCATAGAACTTGGTACTTCCTTGAGCAAACCCTGCTGCCTGCCACCCTGGGCCTTAGTCTATTTCTTCCTCTACCCCAGTGGCTCTCAGAGTTGGTCTCTGGACCACCAGGAGCAGCAGCAACAGCAGCAGCATCACCTAAAGTGGTTAAAAATGTAATTTCCAGGGTTGGGGAATGTAGCCCAGTCCATAGAGTGTTTGCTTAGTGAGCATGAAGCCACGAGTTCCATCCCCAGCACCATAGGAAACAGGCATGCTGAGCCACATCTATAATCCCAGCACTTGAAGGGTAGAGGCAAAGCTAGGAGGATTCAGAGTACATGGTCACCCTTGACTACACAGTGAGTTTGAACCTGACTTACATGAGACTAAGAAAGAACAAAACAAAAAAAATGGTGATGGCAAAGTGCTTGACCGAAGGTGATGGAGGGAGTAGAGATGCCAGAGACGTGGGGCCTGCAGTCGTGGAAGAGGATTAATCTCACCCTACACCATCTGCCCTGCAGGTATAGCCTGTATACCCGAACCTGGCTTGGGTACCTCTTCTACCGACAGCAGCTTCGGAGGGCTCGGAATCGCTATCCCAAAGGCCATTCCAAAACTCAGCCCCGCCTCTTCAATGGTAAGCTCTGGCTGCCTCCAGCCTGCTCCTGACCCTGCTCCCCATGCTCACCTCCTGGGCTACTGCCCTTCTCCTCCTCCTCTCCCCCTCCGTGGGCTTCCCAGCCTGCTGCAGCTTCTCCGTCTGCCTTTTCCAGGAGTGAAGGTGCTTCCCATCCCTGTCCTCTCAGACAACTACAGCTACCTCATCATTGACACCCAGGCCGGGCTGGCTGTGGCTGTGGACCCCTCAGACCCAAGGGCTGTGCAGGTGAGGGGAGAGGGAGCAGGGGTGCTGGGAGTCCCTGGGGGAATGCCAGCTTCTCTTGCTAGACAGGGGCTGGCCTTGGTTCGCCTGACTATGGAATATGCTCCTGTGTGTGTGTGGGGGGGGGCATCGTCACATGAGAACCGCCTTAGGTAGAGCCAGAGGTGGGTGTTCTGGCCTAGGACCATGAATCCTGGCAGTTTCCAGTCTGTCCCTTACCCTCTTTGTTCCCCTAGTGGATATTCTTTTTTTTTTTTCATTTTTATTCATGTAATTATTTGTTTGGGTGTTGTCTTCTTTTGGGGGGGGTTGTCTTCTTTTTTGTTTGTTTTGTTTTGTTTTCCTTTCTTCTCTTCATCCCCCCTCCCCAAGACAGGGTCTCACTAAGTAGCTTTACCTGGTCTGGAATTTGACATCATATTGACCAGGCTGGCCTTGAACTCACAGAGATCTGTCCCGTTCATCCTCCCCAGTGCTGGTATTAAATGCATGTACTGCCGTGCCTGGTATATTATTGTTTTTCCAATTATATGTGCTGTGTGAGTGTATGTGTGTGATGTGGGTGCCATGGCATGCAGGTGGAGGTCAGAGGACACCTTATGGTTATCTCTTTCCACCTTTATTGAAGGTTCTGGTGATGGAATTTGCCTGCTGAGCCATCTCACCAGCCCCAGACCCTCTTACTCCTTTGACCTCTGTCAGTGCCTGGCCCTTTCTGCCTTTCCCTTCATCTTCATTTTTTCTCTATCTCCTTCCTTCCCTGTGTGTGTGTGTGTTGTGTGGTACTTAGAATCCAGGGCCTAGAGTTATTTCTCGACGTGAGTGTATCAGCGTCAATGCCTGATGCTCCCTCTCTCTTCCCTGCCCCACTCCACGCTGGGTCTTTTCTATTCCTCCAAGTCCCCTTTGGCAGCTTCTCATTCCCTAGCCCATTGTCTGCCATTCCTTTATCTCTCCAGCTGTCTTTTCCACCCGGCCCCAACTAGACTTTCAGTGTATCTCCCCCTGTATCCTCCCCCACCCTCAGTACCTCTTCTCTCCCCCAGGCTACCATTGAAAAGGAAAGAGTTAACTTGGTTGCCATTCTCTGCACCCACAAGCACTGGTAAGGACCTGGGAATGGTGGGGCTATGGCTGCAGGCACTTTTACCTTCATAGTCTGGGCTTGCAGGCCTGGACTCAGACCTTGGGGGATATGGGGATAGGCAGGACCATCTCCTCATGAAGTCACTTGGGCACCAGCAGAGGTAGAGAGAAAGGGGCTGGGTCATTTATCATGGCACCCAGCAGCTTAGCGCCTCAGAGGAAGGCAGGAATTGCTGTGTTCCATCCATGGGCATGTAGTAGGTACCCACAGAATGAGCATCTAGTTAGTTGGCAGGTGGCACAAGATACAGAGGATGGAATGCTAGGTGGGTGTGGTCAGATCCACTCAGGGGAATTTGAGGATGACAACTGGTGTTGAGAGAGAATCCAGAATGATCAGTTGGAATTGGTCAGGAAAACATAGCAAGTTGAGAAGTGACTTAAGCAGGGAAATGGCTTGAACAAGAGCCAGGGCGTACTTTAGGGAAGGGAGAAGTCCAAGTACAGTTACCCTTTGGAGTCCCTTGTGCTCATCTCTGCCATCCTGCAGGGACCACAGTGGAGGAAACCGTGATCTCAGCCGGCGGCACAGGGACTGTCGAGTGTATGGGAGCCCTCAGGATGGTATCCCCTACCTCACCCAGTAAGTCCCTGACCCAAACATGGGTGGGCATCTCCTACCTCCTGCCTGCAATCTTCCAGGGTGTCAGCAGCTGGATCTTTGGTGACACCCTGCCTAGCTCTTAGACAGCTAAATGGAATCCATGTGAGAACACTGGCCCTTGTTTGCCCCAAGATAACCCAGCCATGGTCAGAAGATGAAGGCTATGATCTGAGACCCTGGGCACCTGTGCCTTCACCCTACTGTAGAAGCCACCCTCCTATAAGTCACCCAGCCCTCAAGTCTGGGGTGATAGCTGTGATCAGCATGACACAGCTTGAATTCCCTCTTTTCCCTATTGTTTTGTGCTCCAGCCCTCTGTGTCATCAGGATGTGGTCAGTGTAGGACGGCTTCAGATCCGGGCCCTGGCCACCCCTGGCCATACTCAAGGCCATCTGGTCTACCTGCTGGATGGGGAGCCCTACAAAGGTCCTTCCTGCCTCTTCTCAGGGGACCTGCTCTTCCTCTCTGGCTGTGGTGAGTTTTTGCGAAAGGGAGGGGAGGAGGGTGAGGAGAGAGTGACAAAGGCCAGAGCAGCAACTATTCCGTGTCACATTTGGAATGTTGTTTTCCAACATCCCAATGGCTATGTAGCAGTCACCTCCACTTGTGTTGCCTGACTGTTCATGTTCTCAAGATTCTCACAGGGCGTGGACCTAAGGATAGGACCCTGTAAGCAAAGACTATAGAGCACTGATTTCCACCGGGTGGGAACCTGTTTCCCCAAAATAGTAACCGGGAAGAAGAAGCCATGGAAAGTTGAGGACATTTACATGAGAAGAAAGCACTATGGGTGGGTAAGGACCATAAGTCCTAGACTGCACAGTCCCAGAGGATAGCCACGTCTAAGACTTTCTTGGCGGGAGGATCATCTCTACCCACCAAGCCTGAACCATAGGAAACCAGCCTGAAGACCCAGCCGTCTTGCCCTCTACATGCCACTATGTGTGTGGGGCCTCACAACACCTCTCCCATAAGGAGGGAATAGATGCCTGGGGATGGCCAGGCAGGGCTCAGTTGAAGGACTGGTGGCTGACCAAATCTGCCTAATCTGGGTCCAACCCCATCTCTTTTGTGTACCTTATACCATATTGTGTCATCCTTGAATACCTGATCCCATGCAGGAAGGACCTTCGAAGGCACAGCAGAGACCATGCTGAGCTCACTGGACACCGTATTAGACCTGGGGGATGACACCCTGCTGTGGCCTGGTGAGGTGCCCCTCTCCTTCCTCCCAGTCCCATGCTTTGCCTGGTAACCAGGGCCCTCCCAGCCCCTCACTTTCCTAGAGACTGGCAAGCTCAGTTCATGGCCCAGAGGTAACACAGTCAATCCTCCAAGGGTGGGAACAGACACTGACCTCCTTCCTGGAGTGTAGTACTGGCTAAAATAATAGCCATGCCTTTCATGCCACTGTCCCCTTCCCCGGTCAGCTCTTGGCCTTGGGAGTCCTGGAGAGATTCAGATAAATATGGTCAAAGCCCAAACAGAAAGTAGCTTTTGCTTATCTAAGAAAACAGTAAATCTGGTCCATGTGTACCCATTGGCCTGTATTTGACTACAAGTAGTCACAGATACCTTATTTATTTATTTATTTATTTATGTTGTTGTTGTTGTTTTGAGACAGGGTTTCTTTATATTGCTTTAGAGGTCGTCCTGGAACTTGTTTGCTAGACCAGGTTTGCCTCGAACTCACAGAGATCCGCTAGAACGTATACTCATTTGTATAATGGATACTGTATGTAGCTGTCACTTACCAGGCTCTGTTTCATGCACTGGGAAAATCACAGTGAAACCTGGGCTTCACACATACACACACATACACACACATACACACACACACACACACACACACCCACACACACACACACACACACACACCCACACACACACACACACACACACACCCACACACACACACACACACACACACCCACACACACACACACACACACACACACACCAACTCTCCCCAAATCCATCCCCTCGCCCTACCCATCCTACTTTTTTTTTTCCTTTTATTTTTTGTCTGGTATGTTATTTTCTCCCCTTGCCAAATCAGAAAATTGTGGCTTAGGGAGGTGCCGGGTCATAAGTGAAGTCCTTCTAGACAGGGTAAGGGAAAACTGTGGCCTCCAAGCTCCAAAGTTAGTGATTTCCCCCATGAGCCCAAACCGCTGCCCATACTACCTCTACCTCTCCCAGATGCAGCAGCGCCCATGGTTGGAAAAGCAGCTTTGGTGTTGGGTTTTTCAAGAGCCCTGCTCTCCCCTCTGACTGCTGGGTAGCCATGGGCCTGTGCCTTGGAGTAGGAAGGACTGATGTGCTCACCACCAGTCTTTCTTTGCTGCTTCTTGGCCCCTCTGGCCGTGGCTAGGACACGAATATGCAGAAGAGAACCTGGGCTTTGCAGGCGTGGTGGAGCCCGAGAATCTGGCTCGGGAGAGGAAGATGCAGTGGGTACAGAGACAACGGATGGAGCGCAAGAGCACAGTGAGGCCTGGGGAACGGGGTGGGATGAGATGGGGAACTAGGCTACTTGTCTAGCCAGTGCCGATCGCTGCCAGCCCAGGCCTGCAGGCACTTTCCAGAGTTTTGGCCTCTCTCGCCAGGAGGGTAGGGGCTAGGACAGACATCCCTGTTTGGGTCCTTTTTCCAGATTCTATCCCCACATCCCTATGCCTCTTTCTCTGCAGTGCCCATCCACCCTGGGAGAGGAGCGCACCTACAACCCATTCCTGAGAACCCATTGCCTGGCACTACAGGAAGCTCTGGGGCCAGGGCCAGGCTCCACCAGTGACGATGGCTACTCCCGGGCCCAGCTCCTGGAGGAGCTGCGCCGGCTGAAGGACATGCACAAGAGCAAGTGATACCCCCAGCCCACCCCAGTCCAGGCTGTCCCCACAGAGGGGAAGCCACCCACCACTCACACCTCGCCATCCTCTCATCACTAGCACCACCGCCGCCATTGTTAACCTAGGCAGCACCATTCCTCCAGATCGGTCAGGGAGGGCAGAGACCAGACAGTGGGACTTAGAGGAGGAAGCAGTAGAAGCCTTGGAGACCCCCCACACAATGCAGCTGGGCGTTAGGTAAGAGGAAGGAGGCAGCACCTGGGACGTCTCTAGACTCTGCTGCCTTGGAGACTCTGCCTCCCACCCCGCTCGAGGTGGAGTACCCAGATGATGAAGGCTGCTCTGGGCTCCCTTCCAGAGGCCACACTCCCACTTGGAGCCCTGGAACCCCGGGAAAATAGAGCACTGACCAGGCTAGTCTGTTCTCCACCTTTCCCATCCAGGGTTGTTGGAGCAGCTCACCCTGAAGACATGATACAAGGTGTGGTGCCTGGTTAAGTGGTCGCCAATAGGGGCAGCCAGACATTGGGTGACTGATACTCTAAGCCCCACCTTACCCACCCTGCTAAGACATTGCCAGACAGAGCCATTCCTAAGAACACCCAAGGGCTGGAAGCCTGGCTCTGGCCAATCCCTGTCTCAACAAATCCTCTGATGGATAGAGGGCAAGGTCCCCGATTGCCAAGGAATCTTCTGCCTCAGGCCAAAGACACACAAGATGCTGGGATACAGAGCCACTCGCCATGCACATCTGTCCCGGGTCTGCCACTGGCCTCTGCTCCTGCCTCCAGTCACAAGGGCCTGCCTTCCCAGGGGAGAGTGAGCTGTGGTCTGCCTGAGAGATCCTGCTTTCTCCTTTGGGCCCTTGTTCTTGGGAATTCCCGCCTGCCTGCTGTCTTCCTTGTTTATCCTCAGCTCTTTTCTTCTTGAAGTCATTAAAGGCTGGTCTTTCAGTCCGGGTACTCGTCTGGCTCCTTGCACTGTGCCAAAAAACTTCTATCCCCACGTGATTTCCCACTGGCTCCCCGACCCATGCTGGCAGTGTACAGACAGCAGAGGTCTGAGGCAGGGAGCTCCAGTGGCAGCTTCCAGGACCCGAGGCCTGAGCCTACCCCAGCGCTCACCCCTCCTCCCAATCCACTTGTCCTCTGGTCTCAGGTGGAGGGCTCTCTGGGGCCACAGTGAGAACGCCTCTGGTTGTTGAGCAGGCACTCTGGGTTAGCAGGAGCCACGCTTCGTATGTCAGAGCCTTCCCTTGGGCTGTGCAGCGCCCTCTAATGATCCTCCAAGACGCCCCTGCCCTCAGTTTCTCTTCTCATCTGGCCTCGGCTGCCCTCTCCAGCCCCAGCCTTTGGAACCCACTCTAGCAATACCACCAGACTAGTTAGCCTTCCCCGCCCCCGACACACGCAGTTCCACGCTGCCGCCTTCGCCTTCGTGCCTTCGCTCATGCTGTTTCTTCAGCTGGAATGCCTTCCCGCTCCTTCTGCCTCCTTTGCCTGTCTAACGCCTATATTAGCCTCTCCCAGGCCCCTCCCCCAGGAAGTCCCCCCCTCACCCCTATCTTCCAGGCTACCTCTCCACCATGTAAATGCTTCTCTCGTGGCACCCATCACACTGTATTTTACTTGTTTACATGTTTGCCTACCCTTCTAGACTGTGAATCCTTAAGGGCATGGACTGTATCTTATGCATCTCTGTATTTCCGCGCCTAGCACGGTGCCTGGCACACAGTAGGCGCTCAATAAATGTTGAATGAATGATTTAACTCAGTGACTTATCAGTGCTACTGCATGGGTAACAGCAGCAGAGAAACTGCTCGCTGTTGTCTGACTCCATTCCGGGCCCATAACAGGGTTCTTACATGGGAAGAGCTTGGGGAAGCCTATCATGTCCTAGGCCCTGGGTTCAATCCCCAGCAGCACCAGAACAGCCCAGAAACAATGCCCTCCACACATTCCTCCCACAGCCTGTGTGCTTTGGTTCAGAGTTTGCACCCGGTCTTTCCCCCAGCTTGAGACACACAGGACACCACTAGCCACAGTCCAGCAATGAAGAGAACTTCAGGAGCACAACCTTCACTCCACCCTGTCTTTTTTCTTCTTTTGGGTTTTCAAAACAGGATCTGTGTACCTCTGGCTGTTCTAGAACTGGCTCTGTAGACCAGGCTGGCCTCAAACACAGAGATCCACTTGCCTCTGCCTCCTAACTTGGGATTAAAGGTGTGTGCCACAGCATACCCAGCAGGCACTCATTCATTCATTCATTCATTCATTCATTCGTTTTTCTCTAGCTTGTCTTACTGCATCTGTAAAGAAGAAAAAGCTACAGCCGGGTGGTGGTGGTGCACACCTTTAATCACAGCACTCAGGAGGCAGAGGCAAGTGGATCTCTGTGAGTTCGTGGCCAGCCTGGTCTACAAAGAGAGTTCTAGGACAGCTAGGACTATTACACAGAGAAACCCTGTCTCAAAAAACAAAACAAAAAAGCTGGAGTCTAGCCAGGCGTTGGTGGTGCACACCTTTGATCCTTGCCCTCGGGAGGCAGAGGCAGGTAGATCTCTGAGTTTGAGACCAGCCTGGTCTACAAGAGTTACTTCCAGGACAGCCTCCAAAGCCACAGAGAAACCCTGTCTCGAAAAACAAAATAAATAAACAAATATTTTAAAAAAGCTGGAGTCCTGTTCACCTCTTGCTTTATCACATCGACTTTACTTTTTGTAGATAGTTGTGGATGGGCACCACTTGTGGACGGAAGTTTCTGTCCCACCTGGTCCCAAATAAACACTCAGAGGCTTATATCAATTATAAACTGTTTGGCCAATGGCTCAGGCTTCTTATTGGCCAGCTCTCTCTTAATTATTAATCCATCTCTATTAATCTATCTCCATGTGGTCTTGGCTTACCGGAGAATGCCTGGGCCTCTTTCTTCCTGGGAAGCAACATGGCATCTCCCTTGTGACTTACTCTCAGAGTTCCTCTTCTCAGAATTCTCCTAGTCTGGTAACCCCGCCTGTACTTCCTGTCTGGCTACATCCTGCCTGTCCATTGGCTGAAACAGCTTTATTCATCAACCAATAAGAGAAACATACATTCACAGCATATAGAAGGAAATCCCCCATCAGATACTTGTCCTTGTTTTTGATAAGCAAGATTGGTTATGAGTTCATAAAGGTAATTAAAGACATTTCTTTTTTAAAAAGTTTTGTTTGTTTGTTTGTTTGTTTTGTTTTTCAAGACAGGGTTTCTCTGTGTAGCTTTGGAGCCTATCCTGGAACTCGCTCTGGAGACCAGGCTGGCCTCGAACTCACAGAGTCCAGCTTAAAAAGATTTTTAAGTGATTTGTTTATTCTTATTTTATGTGCATTGGTGTTTTCCCTGTATGTATGTCTATGTGACATCATCAATTCTCCTGGAACTGGAGTAATAGACATCTGTGAGCTGCCATGTGGGTGCTGAGAATTGAACCCAAGTCCTCTGGAAGACCAGTCAGTGCATTTAACCACTGAGCCCAAGCAAACACTATTTTGTTTGTTTGTTTGTATTTTTTCAAGACAGGCTTTCTCAAGATATTTTTTAAAAGATTTTATTTATTTATTATGTATACAACATTCTGCTTCCATCTATATCTGCACACCAGAAGAGGGCACCAGATCTCATAAGGGATGGTTGTGAGCCACCATGTGGTTGCTGGGAATTGAACTCGGGACCGCTGGAAGAGCAGTCGGTGCTCTTAACCTCTGAGCCATCTCTCCAGCCCCCAAGATATTTCTTAAAATAGGAAAGCATGAAATAAAGAGACCCCCTAGCTGTGGTAATACTTCTACAGGTAGCTTTGTATGGCTAAAGACCAGCACACACTGGTACAGCAACAGGCCAGGCAAGAATGGTTTTCCCACCTTGGCAGAGGTTAGCCTCCCTCTTAGGTATGGGGATGGGCCACAGTCCTCACCTTCTTCATGAAGGATAGCTCTGTGATGAGTTTGGCTCACTGCTATCCTAGTAGCTGATCCCCAGACCCTGAACCACACAGGTCTCTCTGGGCATGCACAGTGGAAGGAACTCTCATTGATAGTTCTTGGGCTGAGGAAGCATTTCCATGGGCCTTGGGGATCCTTCTGTAATGATAAATCTTTCCCCAGCCGCCCAAGTTCTGCCTGCCATGTGGGTGGCCAAAATAACACATAGAGACTTATATTAGGTACAATGCTGCTGGCCAATGACTAGGATTTTTTTAAAGATTTTATTTATTTATTATGTATACAACATTCTGCTTCCATGTATATCTCCACACCAGAAGAAGGCACCAGATCTCATAAGGGATGGTTGTGAGCCACCATGTGGTTGCTGGGAATTGAACTCGGGACCTCTGGAAGAGCAGTCAGTGCTCTTAACCTCTGAGCCATCTCGCCAGCCCAGCAAGGCGTCTTCTCTTGCTGGGATCACATGGCAGCTCCAGAGAAGAGAGCAGGAGGAAGAGGAAGAGAGTGATTTCCTGCTTGTTCATGCTTATATTCTGAGTCTGCCTACTATGTCACTTCCTGCCTGGTTCACAAGACTTCTTTACTACATTTCCCAGAATCTTCCTTCTCTCCTAGTCCTGCCTATATTATTTCTCTATTGACCAACAGTGCTTTATTCAACAACCAATAAGATAAAGATACACAGAAGAACCTCCCCCATCATCCTCCCACCTGACTATACACTTTGAATGACAGGTGAGCTTGTACATCTTGAGCTGGTGCTTCCCAAACAATCATGCATGAGGTTTCTGTTCACAGGACAATGGGTGCCATCAGTTTTAGACCCCTGGGGATCAGTCCCAGCTCTGTCCTGCTTACCAATGTCTTGGGCGAGTAATTTCCTCTTCTTATTTCTATAAAAGGCTGTAAGAGGGACAGAATCTACATGGGTTGGGTAGGCAACTTGAAATTGATATACTCCAAGTCACATCATGATGACTTCAGGCACCGACAGAGCCAGGGATTCAGAGCATCTTCATTAGGGGGAAGACACAGGAGGATTGCAGTTTTGAAGCCAGGCTGGACTACATCCCAAGCAAGACCCTGTCTTGTAAGAAGAGCAGGTGAGGTGGCATACACCAATAATCCCTACACTTAGAAGACAGAGGCAGGAGAGTCAAGGGTCCAAAGCCAGCCTGGGCTACATGGAGCTATCTCTGGCCTACTCTGTCTCAACAATCAAACAAGCAACAACTTCTTTTTCTATATTGCAGAAATGAATGTGGAAGCCATGTGTATGTTAGGTGTGTGCATATGTGAGTGTATGAGTAGCACTGGAGACGAAGAGACAGATGGATGTCTATGGCCAGCCTGGATTAAATAATCAATTCCAGGCCAGCCAGACCCATAGAGGGAAATCTTATTTTAAAACAAAACAAAACAAAACAAACGAAGAAAGGAAGGAAGGCAGACGAAATTGGATGAGAACCCAATCCTGAAGATTCATACAGGCCAAGTTCAGGCCAAATGAGAGGGGGGATTTGAAGTTGGGTTGGTCTGAATACAAAGAGAGGTCCCTCCTCTGATTGGCTGCATGCATCCAGAGACAGGTGATGTTACTGGGTTTTGCAGACTGGTTAAAACTACAAGAGATGTACAGTGTCATTCGGCTAAGGAGCAATGTCTCTTTCAACTGATATTGTAATAAGCACAGGGCCAGTTCATTGGGCACTAGAACACAGTGTTCAAGAGCAAGAGCTACAGCCAGGTGTGATGGCACAGGCCTGTGATCCTAGCACTGGGGAGGCAGAGGCAGGGGCATCTCTGTGATTTTGAGGCCAGACTTACAGCAAGTTCCAAGTCAGCCAGGGCTATCTAGTAAGGCCGTGTCTCAAACAAACCAGCAAAGACTCTGGAACCCCAGATAGATTGGAGTCTGTATTTCCCTTTTATGGGCAGGTGCCCTTTCTTACCTGAGCTCTTCGTCTGTCAATGGGGATGATAATGGCACCAAGACAAGAAGCTTGATGCGTGCACTGAATGTGTTAATCCTTGTGGAGCTCACCATACAGCATTTTCCTCCAGATCAGTGGATGCCAATGCCGCACAGTAGATGCCTACCTCAGTGGCCAGAGCCTGTTTGTCCCACCCAACACCCCCAATTTCTATCCAGCTAGCTTGTCCTCTTGCTCTAGTATATGTATGTTCACACTGGCTCAAAGAGTACCACACAATAATGATAAATAAAACCCATTAAAAACAAAACAAAAGATAAATATGGTTGATAACAATATGCTATATTTTAAAAGTTGTGAGATAGTATACTTTAAGTGTTCTCAAAACAAAAATGATGAATATGTGTGAAATAACATTTGAATTTGTGTAATTTAGCCATGCCATTGTGAACATACTGTATTCTGTATCATAATTGTTCATGACTTTATTTATGAGCTAAATAAATGAATGAAAAAAAAAGAAATACATACAGGATTAACAATGAAAGAAAAAAACAATATAGGTTAGAGAGATGACTCAATGTTTAAAAGCACTTGCTGCTCTTGCAGAGAACCCAGGTCTGTTTCCAGCACCCACATGGCTCACAACCAACTACAGTTCCAGAAGACCCAACGCACCAGAAGTTTCCATTCAATCTAGTCATCTTTCACCTATTGCTTTCTTGTTGCCTCAATTCTTTTCTTCTTTCTTTCTTTCTCTCTCTCTTTCTTTCTTTCTTTCTTTCTTTCTTTCTTTTCCTTCCTTCCTTCCTTCCTTCCTTCCTTCCCTCCCTCCCTCCTTCCTTCCTTCCTCTCTTTCTCCTTTGATTTTTATTTTGTTCTGTTTTCAAGACAGAGTCTGTGAAGCCCTAGCTGTCCTAGAACTCACTCTGTAGACCAGACTCAGAGATCTGCTTGCCCTTGCCTCCCAAGTACTGGGATTAAAGGCATGTGCCACCATTGCCCAGGTTTGTTTTCATTTTTTGAGACTAAGTGTCATACAAACCAACATGGCCTCAAACTCAATATGTAGCTGGGAATGACCTGGGTTTCTGATTCTCTTGCCTGGACCTCCCAAGTGCTGAATAACACCAGGCACCATCCTGCTCAGCTGCTGCCTGAATGCACAGACTCAAGTCTTAACTCCCTCTGGTTCCATCTCAGCTATGCGATGTTTGGGGGCCATTGAGCCTCTCTATGCCTTGGTTTTCTTATACACAAATCTGAGGTAATAAAGTATGTCAGCTAAGCATGGCAGTGCACACCTGTAATCCCAAAACTTGGAAGGTAGAGAAAGGATAATGCCAAGCTTTAGGCTAGCCTGAGCTACAAAGTTAAAAATTTTTCTTAAAAAAAAAAAAAAAAAGCCCAGTGTGGTAGCACATGCCTTTAGTCCCAGCACTAAGGAGGCTTGTGGATCTCTGTGAGTTCAAGGCCAGCCTGGTCTACATAGACAGTTCTAGGACACTCAGGTATACATAGAGAAACCTTATCTCAAAAAAATATTTTTAGGGCTGGAGAGATGGCCCAGAGGTTAAGAGCACCGACTGCTCTTCCAAAGGTCCTGAGTTCAATTCCCAACAACCACATAGTGGCTCACAACCATCCCTTATGAGATCTGGTGTGCAGATATACATGGAAGCAGAATGTTGTATACATAATGAATAAATAAAATCTTTAAAAAATATTTTTAAAGTACTTCAGAGGTTGAGATGCAGCTCAGTTGGTAGAGTACATGCGTACGTGCTTAGCATGCCCAATGCCGTAGGTTTGATTCCCCCCAACAACTCATAAACTGAGAATGGTGGCACACATCTGTAATCTTAGCCCTCAGGAGAGAGAGAGAGAGAGAGAAAGAGAGAGAGAGAGAGAAACAGAGAGAGAGGGAGAGAGAGAGAGAGGGGTCAGAAATGTAAGGTCATTCTCCACTACATAGTAAGTTTGAAGCCAGCATGAGCTACTTAAGACCGTCTCAAAACAACAAAGCAAAACAAGGGAAGTACTTTAGGCCAGCCTGACAAATGAGATAATGTCCATAAACGCCATTAAAACCATGTCTGGCTGAGGACAGCTGTGGTTTAAGCATTTGCTGTAAGGCTAGGTGTGGTACCACGCAACTTTAATCCCAGTGCTTGGGAAGCAGAGGCAGGTAGATATCTATGAGTTCGAGACCAGCCTGTTCTACATAGTGAGTTCCAGGACAGCAAGGGCTATATAGAGAGACACTGCCTCCAGAACAACAACCAAACCAACCAACCAACCAAAGAACACGCGATGCTTCCCAGAGCTATCATCATTATGCCTACATGTATGAATGCACCTCCACTTACGAAGGGTTAGATCTCCGAGTACTTGCCATAAGATGTCAGCACAGTTAGGTGAAAAGGGAGCCAGCTATGAGCGACACAGTCCTCTCTCTACCAAGTATAGGCTGCTCTGCCTCCAGTTTGCCTGACTGGCTGAAAGTTGCAGCTTGCGGGAACAGTGAACAACATATGGTGGTCCCAGGAACTAGAAATAAACAGTTTCTACTGAATGTGCAAGGCTTTCCCACCAACATGAAGATGATGAATGAATGGGAGGCTGAGCCATCGGAGATTGGAGACTATCCATCCATGTTAGGACTATAGCTCACAAAGACAGTCATACAATCTTAAGTTGGATTCTGTGTGTGAGCTTAGGTCTGGCTTTAAACTCCTGATCGTCCTCCACTTCCTGGAGTCAGAAGTGCTGGGGTTACAGTCATGAGTCCACTACTTCTTTTTATTATTGTTATACTTTATGTATTTGGGTGTTTTGTTGGATGTATGTGTGTGCACCAGGTATGCATCTGGTGCCCGCAGAGACCAGAAGAGGGAGTTGGGTCCCACAGAGCTGGAGAGCCATCATGTGGATGCTTGGATTCAAACCCCGGTCTTCTGGAAAAGTAGCCAGTGCTCTCAACAGCTGAGTCATCTCTCCAGCCATTTATTTAGTTGATTACTTCCAAGAAAATGGTAATAACCGCTTTCCCCTTGTCTTTTAAGAATGTCAAAGGCTCCCTCTGCTGGACAACCTATCTCTCAAACTTGGCTGAGCCCCAAAGCCTGGCAAATCTAGGTTGATTGCCCTTTAAGGGGCAGAACCTAGCTTCTGGTTGCCATGGAGACAACTAGCCACAGACTGACTGGCCTCAATCAACATGTCTTCCAAAGTTTCCCCCACAGGTGGGGAATGGGCTCCTGATCTGTGGGTAGGAGAAGGGATATTTCTCCTTTACAATCTTACCTGAGTGTGGTCTTAGTAAATTCAGCTCCTGGGGACAGGGATCAAGATTTGGGTGCCCCCTGTGTACCCTGCCTCTTTCCCCAGGGTCTGACATCTTAGTTTCTTCTTCCTATTGTAGGCACCAAAGCTAAGAGCCAGCACCATGTAAGCCAGCTGCTACAGCAGCAGCAGCAGCAGCAGCAGCAGCAGCAGCAGCAGCAGCAAGAGCAGCAGCAAGAGCAACAGCAACAGCCTTTGCCAGAGGCCAATGCTGAAGCCATCAGTTTCCTTAACTCTTTCCGTGAGCCAGATGGTGGGGTGGGCATGGGGAGAGGTGTGGCCAGTCTCAGGAGGAAGGAAAAGACCTAGACAGGCCCTGTCTCTCTCTGCTTGATTCCCTTGAGACTCAGAAAAGAGCTGATACCTCTTTGCCAATGTTTGTGGAGGGAAAACCTGGCGGGGGGAGGGGTAGCAGGGCTGGCGAGGACACGGGTATGTGGGTATGTGGGTGCGGAGGGGTCTAGAGGCTGAACCTGGAGGGAGCCTCTCTCACCACACAGGGCTGGAGGAACTTCTGCTGTTCTTCCCTGAGACCCTGGCCATCGTCTCAGACACAGGAGAACCTCAGGGAGAGCTGACCATCGAGGTGCAGAAAGGGAAATATAAGGACAACCAGGGCATCCTGACCCACTGTCTAATGGTTCATGCCTTTAGCAGAGGCTTCCTGGATAAATCACTGTGTGGAAGCTCCCTCCTAGGTAAAGTTCACCTGCCAGCTGCACTACATCTTCCCTCCATGGCCCCCACTCCAATCCACATGTCCTCAGTCAGGACCTGCACCCCTTGACTTACCTGGGGAATAGGGTGAACCTCGGGGGAGACGGAGGGGAGGCTAATCCCGGGACAAGAGCAGTGCTGAGCACCCTGTCATTTTCCCATGGCCACATTGCACCAGCCTGGGCTAGCACCTTCCCCAGGACCCATCCCAGACTCCTGTCTCCTGTGACATCAGCAATTGCCTCCCTGTACCCCAGGCTACCTAAGCAATGATCTGGAGTTAATGGAGCAGCACAGTCACGAGTTCATCAAGGTACTTACTCCCAGCCTCCCCCAGCCTTGCCCCGGGGTCCAGGGTAATCAAGAACACAGACCCAGGAGAACATGGCACTATTGTCTACCATCACACACAGCTTGATAACAGTCACCTCCATTACAGCTGTTGATGTTCTATGGAGGCACAGACGAACCCAGCCCACTGGGGCCTCCTCCAGCCTGAAAGCCTGTCCATTTCCCAGGGCCATGTGACCTGGCCTATCCCAGAGCCTGGCTATTCCCTGGAGCCTGTCACCACCTAACCTTTAAATCTGGCTCTTCACCCCTCACCCAGGCTTCAATAACTTCCTTTATGGGGCCATGACCTATCTGAACTTGGGAGATGTCTTGGGCCTAATAGCCTTGTCAGAGAATCTATTCCCAGTTTCAAGCCTGTGTTTTGTTCTGCTGTGTACCTCAGTTTGCTTTCCTATTACATAGTATGGCCCTATTCCTGACCTTCTTCCTTCTTCTTCCTTCCTTTTTTTATTTTTTTTATTTTTTGTTTTGCTTTTCAAGACAGGGTTTCTCTGTGTAGCTTTGGAGCCTGTCCTGGCACTCACCCTGTACACCAGGCTGGCCTCGAACTTCTCGAACTTGTTTTGTTTTTCAAGATAAAGTTTCTTTGTGTAGCCCTGGATGTCCTGGAACCATCTATGTAGATCAAGCTATCCTCGAACTCAATAGATTCACCTGCCTCTGCCTCCCCAGTGCTGGGATTAAAGGCATTCACCACCACCACCCAGATTTTTTTTTTTTTTTTGAGACAGTCTCATAGCCAGGCTAACCTCAAACTTGACATGTAGCTAATGACCTTAATCTCCCTGCTTTCCCCTCCCAAGTGCTGAACTACTATATCAGGCTATGATGCTTTCTGTCCATCCGTTATCTGTCTTTTTTTTTTTTTTTTTGAGACAGGGTCTCTCTGTGGCTTTGGGAGCTGTGCTGGAACTTGCTCTAGACTGGCCTCAAACTCACAGAGATCCGCCTGCCTCTGCCTCCCGAGTGCTGGGATTAAAGGCGTGTGCCACTAACGCCCATCTGTCATATTTTTATCTTTTTGCTATATTGAGAGAGGGATTTTAGGTAGACAAGGTTGGGCTCCAGCTTAATCCTCCTGCCTCAGTCTCTCAAGTGATATGATTATAGGAGTGTACCACCATGGCCAGCTGTTTGACATTTAAAATTTTTTTGTTATTTTGGGGGAGGACACAAATGTGGGGACCCTCAGAGGACAATGTCTGGGAGCTGTTTCTCTCCTTCCACCAGAGACTGTGGGATCCAGAGTCCAACTCAAGTTGTCAGGCTTGTGTTGTGTACTCTTAACCACTGAGACATCTTGCTGGCCCTGGTTATCATTTTTATTTTAGATCCAAGTCTTTACACTTCTATTTTGTCTTTTATAAAAAATAAGACTAGCCGGGCAGTGGTGGTGCATGCCTTTAATCCCAGGGAGGCAGAGGCAGGGAGATCTCTATGAGTTCGAGACCAACCTGGTCTACAAGAGCTAGTTACAGGACAGCCTCCAAAATCACTGAGAAACCCTGTCTCGAAAAACCCGAAAAATAAAAAATAAATAAATAAATAATAATACTGAAGCTGGGTGGTGGTGGTGCATGCCTTTGATCCTAGCACTCCAGGAAGTAGAGGCTGGCGAATCTCTGTGAGTTTGAGGCCAGCCTGCTCTACACAATGAGTTCCAGGACAGCCAGGGTTACACAGAGAAACCCTGTCTCAGAAAAGAAAAGAAAAAAAAAAAATAGAATAATGTAGGGAGACACCCTAGCCCCGCCCATGTCTTCTTGAATAAAGAGACTTTAATCCTACAGAATAAGACTGACAGTGCTTGGGAAGTTGAGGCAGGAGAATTGCTGTAAGTACAAGGCTACATGGAGTTCCATGCTCTTCTGAACTACTTTGCCTCAGAAAAACAAAACAGGAACAAACAAAATAGAAGAAAGGTGGGGGTTAGCCTCTCAAGGGCGAGCACTGGATTCCCCCCTGTGTTCTGGCCTTTAGTTTCCCATCCTCCCCATGGAACGGAAGATGAGTATTCTGAAGCAGGATGACCAGATGGTTGTGACCAGAAGTGTCAAGGAGGGTGAGGTAAGAGTGGAAGTCAAGCGGGAACCACCTTCCACATCCTCAGAACCACAGCGGGGACAAGCTTGTGTGAGGCCAGATGTCTAGACCAAGGCCTTGAGGAGAACCACACACCCAACACCCTGCTTGAACACCTGCTGAGCTCCAGGTCTCTGACTCAGATCTGGTCCAAACAGGAAACGAAGACCGGAGTCTCTGTTTTCCCCTGTGAATCACTTAAGGGCTTTGTCTCCAGTATTGCTAATCTGGTGCTTCTGAGAGTGATGGCTTGGCGGCAGTCAGTACCCAGTGGTGCTCGCTTCCTGGCCTTGGACACAGAGGGCAAACTATGCTACTGCACCTATGTGAGTACTCTCTCTGGGCAAGGGAATTGGCCTGGGGGCAAACTCGAAGGGGTAAGGAAGACTGAGGTGGGAAAGACAGGTGTGAGGCAGGAGAGGGTTGTAACCAAGGTGGGAGGGTATTAAGTCATGAGGGTGGAATCCGATAAGCTAGGGCAGCGGTAAGACCTGAACTCTGAACTCGATGGTAGGAAGGTTGAGGATGGAGCTGATGGAATTACTGGCTAACGGGAAGGTGGGAAGCAACCTTCTTTGCATGAACTTCAATGCACAAATAAATGTAATGGAAGTCTGTTTTTTAAATATACATCGTCTAAGGCTGGAGAGCGATAGCTCAGTGATGCAAGCATGAGGACCTGAGTTTAACCACCACCACCCCCAAACCCATATACTTGGCGCACACTTATTATCCCAGAACTGGAGAGGTGAAGACAGCCTAACTGAATAAGGCAGCCTCAGGCCCTAGGGAGAGACCCTGTTTTAAAAAAAGCAAGGTGGGGGTAGAGGGATGGCTCAGCTAGGCACTTACTGGCCTTGGAGAGGACCTGGAATCAGTTCCCAGCACCCACATGGCAGTCCACAACCTTCTGCAACCCATGTTCCAGGGGATCTAATGCTTTCCTCTGGCCTCTTAGGGCACCAGGCACATATGGTATGTATGTATGTATGTATGTATGTATGTATGTATGTATGTATTATACACATGTAGGCAAAACATGCATACACATAAAAAATAAAAAAATATTTAAAAGAAAATAAACAATGTGGATAACTCCTGAAGAACAACACCTGAAGTTGTTCTTAGTCACACACACACACAAGCGCGTGCGCGCGCGGCATGTACATGCATGCCAAACACCCACACACATATGGACTCACGAGCACATATATACCTGCATGCATGCATGGACAGGTACACACACACACACACACACACACACACACACACACACACACACACACAGAGTATACATCATCTAAAACCAGGCATGGTGTCATGTGCCTGCAATTCCAGTACCTGGGAAGTAGAAGCAGAAGGAGTAGGAATTCAAAGTCATTGCTAGCTACCTATTTACTTTAAACTGGCCTGTGCTACATGAGATCCTGTCTCAACAACAACAACAACAAAAATCATACATCATCTAGGGCTTTGAAAGTGTTAGGCAAATGTTTCGCCATTGAGCTATACCTCATCCAAAGATATACCTTTTTATTTTTTTCAATAGTGTGTGTGTGTGTGTGTGTCCCCCAAACTGGCCTTAGCATCTCAGTCCTCCCAGGTTAACCTCCCAATTCTGGGATTTCAATTGCATGTGTGCACCTCCACTGCTGACTTTGTGTGTATGTGTGTGTGTGTGTGTGCACTTCCACAGCTGACTTTCTGTGTGTATTGTGCTGACTTTCTGTGTATGTGTGTGTGTGTGTGCACCTCCTCAGCTGACTTTCTGTGTGTATTGTGTGTGTGTGCACCTACACAGCTGACTTTGTGTGTGTGGGGGGGTGTGCACCTCCACAGCTGACTGTCTGTGTGTGGGGGTGTGTGGGTGTTCACTAGCACAAATGTACACGCAGGTTTGTGCAGGTGGAGGGCAGTGCTCAACCACAGATGTTTGTTCTTTTTTTTTTTTTTTTTTACTGTCTATCTAAACTTTATTTCTCCTCCTAGAATATTCAATTCATTCAAGACTTTAAAAAGGTCACTGTGGACTGGGGATATAGATTAGTGGTAAAAAAACTTGCCTAGCACAGGCAACACCCTAGGTTTGAATTCCAGACGCACAAAAAGTCATAAAAGCTCATGGAAATAGAGCTGGTTATGTCTGTTTACAAATGGATCTGGAGATACAGGTACTGAAATACATACATATGGATACTAACTTTCAACATAATATTCTTTTTTAACCAAAATGTTTACTAAAATATATGATTTACAGAAGTTTCCAGACATACAAAATGGTTGCAAGCTTCCTCCTCCTCCTCCTCCTCCTCCTCCTCCTCCTCCTCCTCCTCCTCCTCCTCCTCCTCCTCCTCCTCCTCCTCCTCCTCCTCCTCCTCCTCCTCCTCCTCCTCCTCCTCCTTATTTTTCTGATGTTTAAAGATGACTTCTTAATGGCTGAGAGCCTTTCCATTCCCACTGTAGTCTGAGTATTCTACTCCAGCATGGGACTTCTCTTGCTTCAGATACAGAAGTGGTTTCCCAAATCCATTGCACTCCTCTCCCTTTCTTCCTACACAGCTTCTACTACTAAGTAAGTCTGAATATTTCAAAGTTTTTTTCATATAAATTATATTTATAGGGAACTTGTGTTAATCAAACAAAGTCTGTGTTCAGATTTAATGTCTTTCCAAAAAACACTGTCTCTTTCTTCAGTTGGTGGTTGGTTCTTGAGGGTTGTAAGTGTCCTCATCTGGGTCTCTGGGGTCCTTTTCCACCTGGTCATCGGCCTCCGCACTCCCACTGAAAGTAAGCCGCTGTCCTTCTCCAGCGTTACATCCATGCGTGGAACCCTCCGAGAGGGGTCCAGTTGCTCCCCCTCCTCCTGAGTGAAGCCCACAGTTACACAAGTGAATGAAACCGATCCCTGGGACCCCATCATTTTCTGTGGTTGGGGTAAAGGCACAGAGGCACAAAGGCACACTCTACCTCAGACTGACTAAAGTTCTGATCCTGTCTTCATGAGCTCTCACCAAGCCTCAGACTGTAACCTCTCCTCAGCGTGGCTGGAGAATGAATGTCGTTTGTTCTTTCTTTCTTCCTTCCTTTCTTTCAGTTGCCTTTCGGAGACAGGGTTTCTCTGTGTACCTCTGGCTGCCCTGGAACTAACTCTGTAGACCAGGCTGGCCTTGAACTCAGAGATCTGTCTGCCTCTGCCTCCCAAATGCTGTGATTAAAGATGTCTGCCTGGCTCGGGCTTTTCTCTAAAGCACTGTCCATCTAGTGAGACAGGGTCTCTCATTGTACAGCACCTCCCTCCCCACACTGATTCCCCTGTAACAAAATGTGCCAACTAGCAGCATTCCTCCAATGAGATGGCTTGGGAAGGACATGGCAGGGGTGGCTGGCTGGAGCTGGCTGTGAAGAACCTCCAAGTTATCTTGAGTGTGCAACTCAAACTCTGTAGCACACGAGGAACTGAACTGCTAGGTTGCTCATCACTGGTGAGCAGGAATGAAGACCTGAGGAGAGGAAAGGGCTTGAGGAGATGGGGACCTGTGGTAGGCAACCACCTCACTGTATTCCCCACTTTGGCTTCTACAGCAATCCCTGGGCTTCCAGACAATTCAAGTGGGCCACCAGCAGGCTGAAATGTTCATCGTGGAACAAACCATACACTCTGAAGAGGGCATCCCCTTCTCCTGTCAATTCTACTTACTCTCTGATGGGTGAGCCATTGGTGGGGAGGACCAGGGTGACGGTGGCATGTGAAGTATGAGTGTTCAGACCATGAAGAAAGGACATTCATGGGGGAATCCAGCACCGGGGTCACTATTATCCCCATGATACTGCCGGGACATTTTGTCACTGATCTGGGTATACCTTTGCTTTGTCCATCTCATTTGCTTAAAAAAAAAAATGTGAGTCCAGGCTAGCCTCAAATGCACAGTCCTTCAGCCTTAGTACCCTAGGTGCTAGGACTATATAGATGTGCTTTTTTTTTTTTTCCAAGACAGGGTTTCTCTCTAGCTTTGGAGCCTCTCCTGGAACTTAGTCTGTAGACCAGGCTAGCCTTGAACACACAAAGATCCACCTGTCTCTGCTTCCCGAATGCTGAGATTAAAGGTGTGCGCCACCACTGCCTGGCTGGTGTGCATTATTTTTTAAGGTAAGGCTGGATGCTTGCCATTATCTGGGACAGGACCCAAGAAATACAAAGATAAGGAGAGGAAGCAGAGTAAACTGGGGCCTCGGGGCAGCTGTCATGATAATACACCACAGATGAGCCTGGACAGGTGCTCACACCTGTCATCCCAGATGAGACAGGAGGACCATGATCCTAAGTCTGAGGGCCATCTATAGTAGTAAGGCCTCCTCTAAAAAAAGGCAGACCTAAGTTAAGGGGTGGCTCAGCTGGGAAGGTGGTGAGGGAGCTTCCTGCCAAGTCTGATGACCTGAGTTCAATTCCTGGAACCCCCAGAGTGGAAGGAGAGAACCATCTCCAAGTTGTCCCTTAACTCTACATAAGTATGTGCATTGTACACACACACACACACACACACACACACACACACACACACACACACACACGATAAATTAATGTTCTTTTTAAAATCACGGATGGTTTAAACAATGGCCAGCAGTGTTGGCTCCTGGTAAGATCTCTGGTGCTGCCACCACTCTGCCTCTCTTTAGTGTGCCAGTGGGAAGACGGCTCTCTGTGCTTTCTGTTTGTGTTATGAGGGTACCAATCTTCTGATTAGAGCCTCACCATTATGTCCTTCATTTGACATTAGTCGTTTCCCAGAAGACTCCCATCACACTGGGCGGAGGGAGGGGTAGGTGGGAAGGTGAGGGAGAGCTTGAGCCTCATTCATTATGCTCAACGTCGTCGTTCGTTCGGTTACAAGGTGGTATAGGAAGACTCTCCCCAACTTCTTCTGTATTGCCCTGCAGGCACCTGGCTAAGAGAGTCCAGGTGGGCTCTCCAGGGTGTTGTATCATCACCAAGATGCCCCTCTTGAGGGAAGAGGGTAAGTGGCTCAGGACAGGGTGGGACAGTGAAGGGAAGGAAGGTGGGAAGAGCCTGGTCTCTCTTGTTTGGGAAGGACCCAGCGTTAGGGGTGGGACAGAATCTTTGAATCAGGTGGAGAGGAGGCAGCCTTCCAGCCTCGGGCTCCAAGCCTTAAGCTGGACCTCTGCCACGAGTCTCTCAGCAACAAAGCCCATACTTGAGAGTTCCTGGGGTGCCCCTGTGTACGCAAGTGATGGGTACACAGTTCCCTTGCTCACCCCACTCAGATGTGTTTGAGCCTCCGCCCAAGTTTGATAAGAAGCCCCTGGTGTGGGAGGAAGACCTGGAGCTATACTCGAAATTCCTGAACCGGAAGGTGAGAAGCGGCTGCGGCCGGCATAGGGGTCCACCTGTTTTCCTACTGTGGACCGGGAGTGCGGAAAGCCCACGCGCTCCTCGCTAATCGCGCGCGCCCCATGCCCCGCCAGGAGCAGCTGCGCCTCAGCCACACCAGCTACCTACGGCAGCACCCCGAGGCCCAAGCGCTCATCTCCGACTTCCTGCTCTTCCTACTGCTCCGCCGGCCGGACGACGTGGTCGCCTTCGCAGCTGAGCACTTCGGGCCCTTTGCGACGCTGCGCCCTCCGATCCCTGCCCTACGATCCTCACACCGGCCAAGCCCTTTCCGGCCGCTGGAGGAGGAGGAAGAGGAGGAAGAAGAGGAGGTGGAAGAGGAGGGGGAGGAGGAAGAGGAGGAGGAAGTAGAGGTGGAAGTAGAGGAGGAGGAAGAGGAGAAGGAGTACTATTACGCCGATGACTACGACGTTGATGAAGACAACGTCGAAGAAAGCGACTATGTCTACGACCAAGAAAGCGACTACGTCAACGACCAAGAAAGCGACTACGACTACGACTACGACTACGACGACCACTACTACGAAGAAAGCGTCATCTATGATGACGAAATCGAGGAGAACGAGGAGAATGACGACAACGACCAGGGTTTGGATCTGGAAAAGGACTAGGCAGACAGCTAAGAGCGAGAGACAGGGACTGGCCGGGTCGGGTATCTTGGCTGCGGGGTTCATTGGGAGATAAGCAGGTTCCTTTCCCCGGTGCTACCCTGCCAGCAGGGACTGTCTCTGGCTAGTATCTCTTGTCAAAAATGCGAAGCTGTATCTTTGTTTACCCAGCGAGTTTCATCCTTTCTTCCTAGATGCTATTTTCACAGTTATGGCCATTTCAGAGAAAAGAAAATTAAGGCCTGTAATGAGATGTGTTGGTTCATACACACCCGTAACCAGCACTCAGGAAGCTGATGCAGGAAAACTGCTGTGAGTTTGAGGCAAGCTAGGGCTACACAGCAAGACCCTGTTTCAAAATTAAATTAAAAATTAAGAGACGAGGAGGTGAGGCAGAAACAACTAGGCCCACACCACTAAAAATCCTAGTGCTTGGCAAAGAAGCAAGTGGGTCTCTTCGGTTCCCTTCAGTGCCTTTCTTTGAGTCCTGTGTGGGCTACAGAAGATCCTGCAGGTGGGGGGGGGGCAGGATTTTAACCTGGAGTTGACCAGAAAGCCTGCAGTGGCACCCTGAATCTAGATGTAATCACTGCCACCTATAAAGAATGGAAGAATGTGAGGAGGGACATAGAGCACCCCTAGCCCAGCCGAGCTTCTTAATGCCTCAGGTCCTCCACCGCCCACCAGTACACATGAGAGTCCCCCAGATTGGGCAAGGAATCCCCAGCTACCCACTGAGAAGAAAAAAACAAAAAGAATAGACAGATACCCATCACTACCCCTAGGTTCCTTGCTCACCCCCAGTTCTGGCCCCAGCAGCTTGTCTGCCTGCTGCTGGCTGTGGAAAGTCTTCTGAGGTAGTTGGGGTGCAGGCACTGTGCCTCCATTAATGCCTCTAGTCATTGGCCATCAGCCCTGCTGCTTTGAAATGAGAGACTCTGGAGGAACTCCAGGATGTAACGAACAGTATGAGTCTTGCCTACCCTACAAGGCTGAGGGATATTGAGGGAGGCAGTGTCTGTCTCTTAGAGGGATCACTTCAGAATACTCCACAGAGCTGCCATTTAGGCCTTGCATATGTTGTTTTTTAAAGATTTTATTTATTATGTATGCAGCATTCTGCTTCCATGTACATCTGCACACCAGAAGAGGGCACCAGATCTTGTAACGAATGGTTGTGAGCCACCATGTGGTTGCTGGGAATTGAACTCAGGACCTCTGGAAGAGCAGTCAGTGCTCTTAACCTCTGAGCCATCTCTCCAGCCCTTGTTTTTTGAGACACGGTTTCTCTGTGTAACAGCCCTAGCTGTCCTGGAACTCGCTCTGTAGACGAGGCTGGCCTCGCATTCACAGAGATCCTCCTGCCTCTGCCTCCTGAGTGCTGAGATTAAAGGCGTGCAACATCACTGCCCAACAAGCCTTGCAAACATTTTTATGTTGCCCTCCTCCTTTATTAAAAAGAAATGCTTTCACAAGCAAGGTGATGGTGGTGCATGCCTTTAATCCCAGCACTCGGGAGGCAGAGACAGGTGGATCTGAATTCAAGTACAGCCTGGTCTACTGAGCTAGTTCCAGGACAGCCAGGGCTACACAGAGAAACCTGGTCTAGAAACCCACTACCCCCAAATTCACAACAAAAGGGGGATAAACCCACAGCCAATAAAATCATCTCAGTTTCTTTATCTAGAGGTCTGCACGTACACACACGCACGCACTCACGCACGCACGAACACACATACACAGAGAGAGACCCTATTACCCTAACCCTAACACAGAACCCTATTCTGAGGATAGAACCCAGGACCTTACATATACGAGGCAAGTACTTTACCACCTTAATCCTAGCCCCTATCAAGCAATTTATTTTTTTCGAGACAGGGTTTCTCTGTGGCTTTGGAGACTATCCTGGAAATAGCTCTTGTAGACCAGGGTGGTCTCGAACTCACAGAGATCTGTCTGCTTCTGCCTCCCAAGTGCTGGGATTAAAGGCATGCACCACCAACGCCTGGCTATCAAGCATTTTTCCAATAGATTTTTTGAACAATTCCAATGGTTTAGCAAAATGAAACCATACCAGTAATACATGCTTGTTAGTTATTAATTGGATACTTAACTGTATTATTGAAAATTTTCAGATATTACTCATGAAGCTGAAGTCTCCGTAGATCCTACTACAGTTCCATTGTATTTTGAAACATTATTTCATGTGTTCAAGCTGGCTTTTCTGGGGCTGGAAAAATGGCTCAGCATGTAAAAGTGCAATCTGTCCAAGCCTGAAGACCCAACAAGTTTCATCAATGGAACCCACATGAAATCTGATGTGGCCAAGCATGATGGCACATGCCTATAATCCCAGCACTTGGAAGAAAAAGCAGGTGGACCTCTGTGAGTTCAAAGCCAGCCTGATGCCTACACGATGAGCTCCAGAGCAGTCAGGGCTGCATGGTGAGATCCTCTCTCAAAAACAAATAAACAAGGCTGGATGTGGTGTCTTGAATCTGCAATCCAACCACTTCTGTGGCAAGATTGGAGGCAGAGGGCTGGAGAAATGGCTCAGTGGCTAAGAGCACTGGCTGCTCTTCCAAAGGACCTAGGTTCAATTCCCAGCACCCACATGGCAGCTCACAACTGTAACTCCAGCTCCAGGGGATCTGGTATCCTCACACAGGCAGACATGCAAGCAAAACACCAATGCAGTAGAAATGAGAGTGACCCTGCCTCCTCAATGAGGTAAAAGATGGGACCAAATGCACTCCCCACATGGGCACCCATACACACACACACACACACACACACACACACACACACACACACACACACACACACACACACCCTTATCCATCAGTGTATTTAGCTTTGTGTTTATTTTTGCTTGTTTGTTTGCTCTATGGACAGTCCCATCATGTACTCTAGGCTAGCCTCAGCCTTTCAAGTGTTGGGATTCGAGGTGGACATCATCACCTCAGCCTATTAATGTGTTTAGAATTCACATCTAGCCGGGCATTGGTGGAACACGCCTTTAATCCCAGCACTTGGGAGGCAGAGGCAGGAAGATCTCTATGAGTTCGAGGCCAGCCTGGTCAACAGAGTGAGTTCCAGGACAACCTCCAAAGCATTACAGAGAAACCCTGTCTCAAAAACACACACACACACACACATATCTAATATCCATTACAGCCTTGTTGGAACCCAGCCCCCATGGGGTCTCTAAGAATTGTTTTCCAGCATAACCACAGGTACCTCCTGTTTTCCTGACCTCACCCCACTGGGATCAATATCCTGTTGTGAACCCTTTGACCTGGGGTTTTTGTAAGTTTGTATATAAGGCTGCTCCACAATAAAGGTGAGAGACATTCTCTCAGAAAAGGACCAGGAGTCTTGTGGTTCATCCAAATCTCCAGGCTTTCCCCCAATGCTCGGACTTAGTGGCCGAGAGCAGCCATAAGTGGAGATCCTACCGAGATCGGGAAAGAAAGGGGACCCTGAGAGATCACCCTCAGAAGGCTGGAAAGCAAGTAAGGAGTTGTGAGGGTGGGTTGCAAAAGGTACTAGAAAATAGGTGCCTCAACTCCTGAGAGAGTTGGATTGTAAAGGCACTGGAAAATAGATACCTCAACTCCTGAGAGAGTGGGATTGTAAAAGCACTGGAAAAGGGGTGCCTCAATTCCTGAGAGAGTTGGATTGGAAAGTTACTGGAAGGGGTGCCTCAACTCCTAAGAGAGTTGGATTGGAATAGAGATCACAGTCAATCACAGAGATAAAGTTTAAAGAGACAAGGTACTGGTAAGATTTAATTTTAACTTTGGATTAAGCAATAATGCTAAGAAAATTATTGAAGAAATGTGGGAAATCCACCACTGAGGAATCCCTCCTCCATGAGCTACCCACCAGCAGCCAGCTGACCCAGCAGCCCGTGCTTTTGTCCACTCAAGCCTGCTGTGGGCTCCAGTCAGCCAGCAACGATGTGGTGTGCACAGGCTGGCTGGAGAAATTGCCTCCTGAGAAAAATTGGGGCACTATACTTGGAAGAACCCTGACCTTCAACAAACGAGCTCCAAAAGAGGTTTATGTTTGGTATCATCACCAATGAGCTCACCTTCTACCTGGTGGCTGAGACAGAGGCTGACGTGAATAGGTGAGTCCAGAGCATCTGCCAGATCTGCGGCTACAGTCGAACTAAAGAGAGCACTGACACCCTGAGAAACCTTTCTTCAGTCAGTCATAATCTCTGCTCTTCTCCAGCTGAATTCAGCAGCTCCAGTCAGCCCCTGCTCAGAGCAGGGGCTGCGGCAGATAGTGAGGATGTGGACACCTTCAAGGCACCCAGCAACACCCTGTGTATGGAATTTGGAGACCTCCCAGTGGAGTCAGCCATAGCTCCCCCCACCACAGCACCACAAGACACCTCTGTGGGACAGCCTCCAGAGATCTCCAGCCTCAACAGAGACCTCCAGTCAGTGACTACAAGTATCCAACATGAGGTGAAGAAACTGCCTGCTGGTCTGCTGAATCTCTAAATCTCTGCTAAGTCGTGGGTCGATCAGACACTGCCAGCTCTGATGACAACTATGTGCCCACAAACCCAGATTCTGACATCCTCATGAGCACAATTCCCCATCACTTTGCTAGCCAAGGAAACAAGATCCAGCCACCCCCGGTCAATAGCCACATCAAGCCTGGCTGAAAAGCAAAGCCAGTATCAATGAACTCCCTTTCAAGTCACCTGTCACCAAGTCTTGGTCCACGGTCAACCACACCTTTAACTACAGCTCCTCCTAGTACTACCGTTCTATCTCCAATACAGACTCCGGAGACAGTGAGGAGAATTATGTCCCTATGCAGAACCCAGTGTCTTCATCCCCTGAACCCAGTGGCACTAACAACCCAGCTCCAAAGAATAGTCCATCCACATCATCTGTCACATCAGATGAGAAAGGAGAATATGTCCAAATAGATGAAAAGACCCAGACCCTTCAAAAGACCATACAGAAATGGACAAAGATGCGGCAGTCCTCAAGACCCT